TTTCTGCTCCACTACATTTCCAGGAAGCTGTTTGTTCCTTGTTCCTTTTGGCTCAGCTTAGCTTTCTAATCCACTGTTTCTCTCCCATGAAATGTAATTCCAACATGGCAGATAGCAGACCTGGATCTGGACACAACTGTTTTAGAGATTCCACAGCTGTGAGAAACTCAGGACAGATTTTATTAGTAGTTTATAATGTTATTAATTAGTTGTTGCCATATGGCCAAGTTGTTCAGTAGGATGAGTTCTCAGCGCAGTTTCCTTTTGGTAATAGATTCAACCAATCAAGATGCACCTGTTTTCTTTTTGGTTTGTTTTTAGATACGGTAATACATGATAATCAAAATATCTGTCCTTAATTTTTGTGGTATTTTTATCCAGAAGTTGTTCACATGTGGTGCAGAATCTGTAGCAGGTGGTTCTACGCATCAATACAGCAGGAGGTTTCTGAAAGTTTCAAGTTTCTTAAAAATGTATCTGAAAATTATACAGAAATGTTCTGATATTAGATTTAATTTGTATTTTTTAATACTCAGGTACTTTTAACTGCATGTACCTTTGAATAGATGAGTACTTCAATACTTTAACTGGAGTAGATGTTTGACCGAGTAACTTTTACTTGTAGTTGACTTTTACTAAAGTACTACTGTTCAGTACTTTGTCCACAGCTGGAAGGGGACCAAGAGAGTCGAGTTGAACACTTTTGTCATTTATTGACACCAAATGTTTGCTTTAGTTTAGCTTTTTCCAACTGATTCCTTTTTATTTAGGGCTTAACGTTCTCTTTTTACAGCTACCTGGTTGAGCAGTGCTGGAACGGCGGATGCATCTACTTGATCCTTTTGCGGCGGGTGAAGCGAAAGGCCCCTCTGCCTCCTTGTGTCGGGGAAAGCGTCCTCAGTCCTGAGCGGCTGGAATGCAGCGAGAACCAGCAGGACCAGCAGCAGGACACAGCTGATAGTGATGTGGCAAACTACAAACGCACTCGCAAGTTTGGTGTCATATCACGGGCCTCCTTCCATCGAGACCAGGAGGAAAGTCCTGAATCAGAGATCCAAAGCTGCACCCAGAGCCCTCCATGTAATGCAGATGCAGGAGTCCGTCCCGCCCTGGAGGACTCTGACTGCAGCCCAGGCTCCTCTCCTCAGATTAGAAAAGTTCAGTCACACAATGGCACTGCTGCAACGCTGCCTGGGAGAAGTCACAGCCAGATGGTGGAGCGCAGGATGCACTCCTTCACCGGTGAAGCTGCAACCCAGGTGAGACTCTATCCTGCCATTCAGCGACGCAAGCCATGATATTAGACAGACGTTTGGCTAGCAGTGCGTACGGCCGTAGGATGTACACCTGTTACTAAAAATTAGTGTTGCGCCGATGCCGTTTTTTGGCCCAGATACCGATACCCGATACCTGGCTGTGCAGTATCGGCCGATAC